CGTGCCAGTAGGAGCTAAATCTTCTGACGCTGAAATTCAAATGGCCCATGGCATTTTCTTTTATAAAATCATATTTTCTAGATTATGTTAGGAAAAGAAGAAAAACTAAACTTCCATTGCAGACTGCCACAAGGAACTTGAAGTGCTCTGTTTACACAATCGATGTGGAATTATTTAATAAATGAGGGTGGGAAGTCTTTTCCACATTATTCTTCAACTGTTTTACTTTAGAATTAATTCCCTTTTGATTAAAGTTAGGATGTTGAATCCTATACAAGAGAATGGACAAGTTTGTTCTATAACTAGACATTTTAAATCTCTGGATTAGACCTGTGTTATTGTATGAGAGAGACAAGCCTTTTGCATTCAAAACCAAACCAATCCTTCACTTACAAACCTCAATAATATTTCATGTTTCTAGAGGTTGGAAAACTCAAGCAAAACATTCTTTCTCAAAGGTGCAAAATCAGATTATATGTGGTAGTCTATATAAAGAGTGCAGAAGTGAGTTACAAACTCACCTGTATCAACAGAGCAAGGATCACAAAGTAGAGCTCAAAACATGAGTAATATTAATACTCTATATGCAAAGTAACATACAGAGTATGAAATTTCTGTGTAGAAAACAAGGAAATATCCTAACCCTGTTACTTCCTTTAAGGTTGTCAGGGTGTCTGTAAAACAGAGAATTCAAGCTTCACTACTTACAAAGGATATCCATCAACAAGTTCCATAACAATGGCATGCCTGTTGTAGTCTATGGGCTTTGGAACAGGAAATTCTCTGTCATGCAAAGCCTGAAAAGAGACAACACATTGAAAAATTAAAATTAAATAGTTAAGGAAAACATTACATATATTGACAAACCCACATGTAAGATACGCAGTATGTATCATTGTGATAGCAGCATATACCCAAATCACATGCCTAAGAAGAAAAACAGCCTCCCAGCCACTGGAACTCTCACTGCGAAGACAATAAATTTCACAAGTTTAGACACTGAGTGCACTGCCTACAGTTGAATTATCGTGCAACTGGAAGAAAATCACAACAGACTGGAGAAATGACAGAACCTTACCTGGTACATTAGCCTGTGCAATCAGTAATAGAAATAGGAAATGGCATTAGAAACAAGTCTACACTAAGATGCTGCCAATACACTCCTGCCTGATTAGTCAACCTATGCTCAGTTGCTGTAAACACAAGTATGTGCTTGCTTGTGTGTGTGAACACAAGCCCATTCCTAAACAGCTTTATACCATACTGAAGATTACCCAAAGGTAGGTCATAATATTTTGAAGCTCTCCTGTTTGCATTTTCTAGCACAAATTTAGTCATTCACTAGATTCACTCAACTTTTTAATGGGTTCATTCTGTTTTTACTCATTCTGTTGTTACCAGTGAATTTTTCTAGAGAGTCCTAAGTTATAGCAACACAAATGCAGTTTTTGTTACTTCAGTATTACTGCTTTTCAGCACTTAATTCAGCTAATACTGATTTTCAGCACTCAATTAAACCTCCCTCAATCCTCTGCTCAGGGAAACTGACCCCCACAATTACATAGCTACAAGTTCTGACCACATAAGGCTTTACCAGCAGGACCACCTGGACAGAGGTGTTAGTTCTTTGTCTGTCTGTGGAGGCCACTGAGACAATTCATCATGGTTCTTTTTTTAAAAGAACAAGAAAATAATTTCATGTATATCTTACTCCTGAACAACACAAAAGGAGAAATGAACACTAGGTTTTTATTAATAATTAGTTTTTAGATATCATCTTTCATCCCTATACAGTATTTGTGGTTTTTTGAAGCAGCTAAGAAACCACAGAATTCAAGATTAGTAGTATAATGAAATCTTTTCAGTACAGAACTAAGTGTGTCTTTTTAGATCAAAACACTAGTTTTGATCTGAAAGATTTCCCTCAACAGCACAACAACAAGTGAAAGCTTGGTAAAATAAAAAAGCAGGTTAATTTTAAGAAATGACAACTGCTTCCTAGCTTATGCAATGAAGTTTGAAGGAAAAACTGCAGAACTGGTGATATATAGATTATCTATCCATAAATAATGTCATTAATTTGAAATTCTTTCTCATGATACCTGAATCTATTCCACGTGATTTCAACAGCTAAACTTAATTTTGGCACTGGGAAGTGTACAAAGCATGTTGCATTGAAACTTTATGAAATGTATACTTTAAGTCCATAAGGGGAGAGAAAAAATGAAGCGTAAATCTTACCAGTACGGCAAACATAAAGTGATCAAAAGACAGCCTAAGAGGCATCTTCCAACCTGTCCCACCACTGCTGGCTCTGTGTGAGTGGCCACCTACCTTCATGTAGGCAAACTCCTTCATTGCTGCTATCCGGGACAAGTACAGCCAGGACATTTTGTGCCTGTGCTTGTGGTAGTCACGTTTGTTTTTCAGGTTGCGGAAGGAAGTTCTCCCCAGCCTGTGTAACTTCAGTGCAAACTGTTGCTCCTCTTCGTTAGCAACAATATAAATATCTAGAAAATACATAACAGCACAGATCTAAGTAATTAAACACATCTAACAAGCCAGATGAAAAAGTGCAGTGAAGGTTTGTTACCCCACTCCTCACCCTTTCTGACCCACAAGTTTTAGCAAAGGCAGATAATTACACTGTGTGTATTAGAGGTCTGAACATGAAGAAATTACTTTTAAAGAGTTTATGGTACTCCAATAGAAGAAAGCAGATGGGATCTGAAGTATCTTTCAGTGCTCTGGTGTTCTTAACCACGTCCTGGAAGAGCTTCTCCTTCCTGATGAATGGACTGACAACTCAAGGGACCAGACTCTTAATTCAGTGTTAACAAATACCCTAAACATAATTTCTAGCATTTGACCCAAATAATCGCCGTCTCCAATTCCAGAAGTCACATTCTGTGTCAAACTATATGAACATAACGGGAACCAAGATAGCGTTCTGATAGTTTTGAGCCTATTTTACTTTACTACCTTATTTTTAAGTGGGATGAAAAAGATGAAATTATCTTTTTGCTAAATGAAACACAGCAAAACACAAGCAGCATCTGCCTGCAAAGTACCTTTTAAAAAAATGAAGTAAGAAACTAACAAATTGGGCAAAATGCAGTAACACTGTTGTAAAAAAATACTCAAATGTAGCCAGAAGCCCCACAGAGCACTTGAACATACTATGTTCAAACACATCTTGGTGTTTGACAGATTAATCAACCTGCCAGTCCAGAGGAAAACTCCACTAGTTTCTAGCAAAATATTTGCAGTATTACAGATGTGTTTGTTTTAAAAAATTATTAAACATGTTATTTTAGTTTACCTGATTCTTTGCCAACACCCATCTGGTTCCCCACAGAATTGATGACTTGTCGGGAAGAGAGTGTTTTCAGAGCCAGGTAATCATATCCTGCATTAGTTAACCGATAACCCTGGACAGCTGGGTAAAAATAAAATACATTTCACTCCTTGTTATGCATATATCACATTTAAAATAAATCTAAATTTAGTCTTATTTCTTGTAGTACATAACACCTAAGTAATATTTCAGCCCTTGGCTCTTACCAGCCCCATGTGACTGAATGGTGAAGATATTTAAATTGGACTGGAGCAACCCTCAGTTCTCTGAAGAACTGGGACAAAAGGGAGAGGTATTTCCCACAGATATCCCCACTGTCTTCACAGGGCCAGATCCAACTAAAAGCCTGGAGGGAATGGAGAAAGGCCTGCACAACCTTGTCATATGGCAGATAATAAATACTCCTTTAGCAGCTGTTCCTGAGGCAGTGAAATGCCCAAGGATTGTGCAGTCTGTTTCAGAATTATGAGGATACCACTCACTTGCGTTGATTCCTATATGCACTTGAAAACTGCTTCAAGTGATGATTTTTTTTACCTTATTCTAACAAAAAAGAAAGTTAAGTGTTCATCTTTTTTCTGTCTCTCACTTCTAAAGATACAAGCAGACACGACATCTGGTGCACCAACCCACATTTCCAGGCTGAGTCCAAGAGAAGGAAAACCAACCACTCTGGGCATTCTTGCATCCTAACCTGTTGGGCAGGTACCACTGTGAGGCAGTGGGGACAGGATTAAGAAAGGGAGTCCAACACAAAATTTAAACTCACTTTTAGTTCGTTCGTAAGCCAGAAGTTTGTGCTTCGCCAACTCTCTCAAAATTTTATTACAGCCACCATGTTTAAGGCTGGCAATGGAAGCAATTAAGCTAGCAGGAACTATTTCATGGTTCTTCATGCCCATTTCCACCTAAAAAAGTAATTAAAAACAGATTTGTCAGCCCTATGTTGAAGTATAATGAAGTACAGATCCTGCTTAATAGTAAAATCTCTTTTCAAAAAGACAATTTTTAAAGACTACAGATTTTAAGACTTAACTTTCTACATTTTAAGCCTTAACAAACCTTTCCATTTGCTTCACTGCTCCTTGGCGGTTCATGTACAACCCACCCAGGGAAGCTCTTCAGTGTCAGACACGACATGAGTAGCTAATTAGATTTCAGTCCCAGTGCCGGAGATGCTGGGGATGCTGCCTCGCCGTGATGGGTCTGCGACTACCCGGGCACCCCCAAAGAACCCCCAAGCATCCCCAAGAACTGCCTGTCCCTCCCATTTCCCCCAGCCGAGCGGCTGAAGAAGATACCGGCCCGAACCCGGTCTTCCCCAGAACAAGCCAGCATGGAAGCCCAGGGGAAGCAGCGGCACCACAGGCGGGTCCCTCCCGCCGCGGGCTGAGACACCGCCGACCCGCCCGGCCCCACTACCCGTGGCCGCTCACCGAGGTCAGCACCCTGAAGTGCTCCCGGGACAGGTACCGCAGCATCACCACGTTCAGCTTCCCCATGGCTATAGAGGCAGAAAAGCAGGGGCGGGAAAAAGAGGAAAAGAAAGAGAAAGATCATGAAAGGGACGCGGAGAAAGACGTGGCGAATGAGAAGGAGCGCATGTCGCGCATGCGCAGCAGGTCCTGGCTAGGTCCTGGCAGCTGCGTGCGCTGCCGCGCTCCGCTGGGTCCCGCTGTGCCCCGCCCAGCACCGAGCAGGGACCCAACTGAAACGCAGCGAAGCTCTGCTCCGAGCTCGGCGGGACCCCCTTCCATGCCTCCCTGCTTCGGGCAGTTTTTTGGGACGCCCGTGCATCTGCCAGGACCTGCTCACCTAAGGCGTTCTTCCCGTCTGTCACGTGATGGTGTGGGACTGTGTGGAATGTCAGGGAACGGCGGGGGTGGTGTGGCTGGGAAAGAGCTCTCTTCTCTGAAGGATAACCCCGTGTTGCCAACCTATTTCAACACAAATCCAGACGTTTGAGCAAGCTAATGTAGAAAACTCTTTTGTCTTAATTTACACTTCATAGCGAATATTTCACTAGGAGAAAGAACGTTCACGTTCCACCACTTCGACCCCTGTAAAAGTAAGTTATGAATGCCAAAATGTCAGTATTTGTTGCAGTTTCCTTCACATTAACGTACTAGAACCTCATCTGGCATATTTCTTCCTCTCCCTTTTTTTTCCTTCTTTTTCCCCCACTGTCTTTTGTAGGTATGAAAATCAGAAGGCAAGAAAATTTTCATTTCTCTCAGCCAGTCATCTGTGTTCAGCTGTCTATTCAGCTATCTTGAAAAAAGAAAAAATACCAAACAAATAAAAACAATCCAAAGAGCAGAAGACAGCCCCACCAGGTGCACAAATTGTGAGCAAAGACCCGTATTTATTACTGTGATCTCTGACTCTTACATCCCTTGTAGACTATATGTTTGCTTGTTAAATTTCTATTATTTATTGTGGTTTGTAAACTTTAGAGACTCTGTAATTCTTATAGATTACAGGCAGTTTTAATCTCTTTGTTTTCATCTACCTGCTAATGCCATGGTCGGTACTCTTGGATGAGTCCATTTCATAGACACACAGCCCGAAACAGGCTGAACTGCATCCTCCAAAGTACTTTGATTTTGGCCCAATTCCTCGTCAAGCTGACACAAAACAAGCATTCCCTTTTCCCCTAGGCACATCTAGTAGCAAATGAAGACAATTTTTTTTCTATTCTTTACTTGTTTTTTTGGGTTTTTTTTTAAGAACTCTTGGCTTTCCTGCCTTGCTCTGATTCCATAGCCGTGTACTGAAAAGATCTTGTCAGTGATTCTGGAAAAGGTTTTGCCACCTGGTTAGCAGGGAAAGAAAGAAGAGAAACTTCCAGCTTCAGGAGACAGGAAATGAAGACATGAGGTTTGGTGTCCTTGTCCAGCTTTCCATTATGAATTTATGACCGTTGTCTATATTTTCCTTTATAATCTGACTGCCTGAAGAACCAGTTAGTAAATTGTGTGTTCCTGATATATTACTATTCCATTTGCCAACAGAAGTAAAAAGAGTGCCAAAGAATCCACAATTGTGTAGATATAAATTATTCTGCAGGGATCTGTCTTTTTCTAAGGGTGTGAAGTCTCCAGGAAGAGGAGATCCAATTATTACAGTCGGACTTACCGAAAGCATTCTAGAAATAGAATATGCTATGCGAAATACCTATGTTTTTCTCCTGTAGAACTTCATGAGTATTTGCTTTACTTTCTGTGACTATACTTTTGGAAAGATTACAATATACACTGCTCTTTCATGTACAGGAATTTCTGTGTGACCTCATGAAAAAAAAAAGCAGACAGCTGATCTCTAGAGAAAATAATTAAATGGTTACTTTTTCCTTTAAATAGGATCTGTCTGGAAGCTGAAGGAGAATGTATCCCATCTGATCCACAACTCAGGGATGTAAAGTTGTGAAGTGTGGTGGTATGTTCCACAAATTCATGGAATTACTTAGGCCACACTGTACTGCAATTATGCTGTGTTCTGATGTTTTCAAGTGAAAGTAAATATAAGGAAAAGCAGAACAAAAATTCACTCAACTGAATTGTGTGTTATAACACTCACTGTTTCACACTCTGGAAAGAAATCATACATTTTGACTGTGTTGAATGTTTCATTCCATGAGAGCTCTTGTTGACATACGGTAAGATATGAAACACGTTAATTGAACAAATTTTCATATTTTGTTTGGTTTTTTTTTCCTTCAAGAAAGGGAAATGGAAAGATCACAACACCCTGAAGGCTAGCACAAACTAATCCTCACACCAGTCCTGTTGGCAACTCCTTCAATTGCCTTGACAGCCAGATCTGGGCCAACCAGGAACAGTACAAAGAAATCCAGCCGGCAAACAGCTACAGTGCCATTCATCAGTCCTAGAAAAAGTATTCCAGAGCTTGGCATCTGTGTTCCAGTGCTTGCCAAGCTGATCCTCGGAATGGCCACGTAGGCACTAGCTTTCACAGCAGTGAAACAGAAGGAAAGCAGGAGAGGTCTGCCACAGCGCACCTTCCCCCTTTGACCTTTTTGTTTTTATAGTCCCTTTTTTTTTTTTTTCAGTTGATGTATTTTCTCTCAATGCACTCTGTGCCGGTGAAATTGGTTTCTAGGGGGTCTTTTTTTCTGCCCTTGGTGGTCATAAGAATGAAGGCTCCTCATCTTCCTTGCAGTTTGTCCTTGGCCTAAAAGTTAACTTGCATATAATTAGTTACAGAGTCTTCTATGCTAGTTGCATTCCCTACTCAGTTCAAATTCTTATCTCCTTTGATGCTCATTTTGATGAACAAAGACCTTTTTATTTATTACACCATATGTAAAAAAAAAAAATAATTACTAGTTTTTAAGGAAAAATTTTCCTTCTTGTATGCCCCAATTTAGTCAACAACCCATGCGTGGTTTCACGCAAAATGTTACAGAGGAACTGCTTTTCATTCCCGCGAAATCCCTTTCTTCCCACTTCTAACAAAAGCAGTAACAGCTCTAAAGGCTCCAACCCTTCACCGCTGCGGCCCCGCCAGCAGTGCACCTCGGTGGGCGCTGGCTGCCCAGAGAACCTGAGGAGCCTCCTTCCCTAAGAACACTCCAAAGCCGCCTGGACAAACCCTGAGGGATTTGCTCAGGGAGTGCCAGGCTAAATGACCTCCAGAGGGCCACGGCCCGGTGAAGGCCCAGCATGAGGAGACGGCCAGAAGCCACCCCCACCCTGTGCCCGGCGGGTACCTGCGGCCGCCCCAGAACGCCGTGAGCCCCGCGGGGCCGAGCTCCGGCCTCCGCCGCGCCGCCACCCCCAGCGCCCGCACCGCCACCACGCTGGGGGCGCGCCGGACGCCTACCGCGGCCACCGCCGGTGACGTATTTCTGCCGCGCCCCGCAAAGCCTCCTGGGAAATGCAGTCCATCTCATCAAGCCCGCCCCCCCGCTGGGAAGTGGAATGTATGGAAATTTCTTTCGGAAAAGGCGTTCTTTGATGTTTGGTCTTTGTGTGCTTTCAGGCCTAATCGACAGGAAGGGAGATTTAATCAAGCAGGCAACAAGTTGATGTCCAGGTGTTGACAACTGGCAGAATGCAGACTATGCTGAATTGTAAGGGACCCGTCAGGACCATCAAGTCCCACTCCTGGCCCTGCACAGCACCATTCCCAAAAGTCACACCATGTGCCCAAGGGTATTATTATAAATGAATATTGACACAGCCAAATTAAAAAAACCTCAAAACAATATTATTATAGTGATCAAATTCTATCTGAGCCGGCCACAAAGAAAAGGACAATGCTGAGCCTGGGATTGGCACTGGGTGGGTCACAGGTTTGACCGCTCCAGCAGAGGGTCTCCCTTTGCCACACCCCACCCTCCTGGTACAAGCGGTTATTATAGGAAATATTTCGCCCAAGGCCGGGATTTCAGCAATCAGCCTTTTCTTTCCATTCAAAGTCACACATATTCATAAAGTCTCTCTTCTCTGTGTTGAGTTGAACAATTCAGTATCCAGGAAGTGATGAACCTCCCTGATGTAGTTACTGAACATGGCATTCAGATATATCACCCTGGAGGGTTGCAGTGATTCCAATCTTGAGTTGTTGCCGGGATGATCAGATGATCATCGCCCAGGCATTCCTGTATCACCCATCTCCGGGTAAGCCACATGTTTATCAGGGACTGGTTTCCAAATACGTGAGGGCAACTCCCAGTGCTTACTTGTGCAACCTCCCAGTAATATCAAATATTACATACATCATATTATACCAGTGTGAATTATCTTTATTACAGTATCATCCAAATATAACAGTATCATCCAAATTCTTCTTGAGCTCTGCTAGGCTGGTGCCATTTCAATGACTTCCTAAGTGTTACACTGCTTTTCCTCACTGGAAAATCCATCATGGAAACATATTTTCCAGATGGTATATGGAAAGGCAAAATGTGCTGCTACAGTATCAGGTTTAATGAAGGAGCAAGTTCTAATGTCCTGTAATACAATGTACATGTGAAAATCATGTTGTCAGACCAAACATGCATACATTGACGTGCACAGCTGCAAGCCAGATTTTCTCCCCAAAATCTCGCATACCCACCCATATTGCAATGACATGCAAACTTCTTTGTTGTGATGCCCAAAATATAGTCTGGAAGTAAAAGCACATAGACTGGTGTCTACGGAGCAGGTACTTGTTTATTGCAGCAATGGAGGTGAGGGGGATTTCTCCTCCTAACTCACCCACCTATGCCAAGGGCTGTGGTGTATTTATACAATAAGTATTGCTTACTAATAAGTGTTACTGTGTCAGTAAAACAATATCATATACATGCCTGAACTAATTTACATAGTGTGATCTCATGGTTATAAATACTTGTTTCGCACTCTGCTTTCGCCACCCCAATTTGAGGGTCATCGAGGATCTTTGATGAAGGCTTCCAAAGTCTTCTTTGCATCTGAAATTTTCAACTTTGTCTTCAGAGCACGTGCAGTTACACTGTTCCTTGGTCTCTCTGGTCTTAACTGGCCTAAATTCTTGTTTTGTTGTTACTGGCTTTGCACTTGCCAATTTTTCATTAGTACTATACCTATCTATCTCTTAAACTATCCACCTCGTGAATTTCTTTTCCTTTTCTTTTGTCTGATCAGCATTAAGCAACTTATTAACAATATGCTAGCCATTACATTGTATAAAAAGTTATTTATATCAGGTTATATAGATATAAAAGTTATGACTCAGGTTATATAGGTATAAAAAGCTGTGATTCAGGTTAACTCGGTATCAGGTTATATAGATATATAAAAAGTCATTACTTAGGTTATATTGATATCAGGTTATATAGATACATCAGGTTATATTGATATCTTATAACTCAAGCTATGTAAGCACTTTGTAATTTTGATTCAAGTTATATAGGCATCAGTTGCTTAGCAAAACTTTTCAGTGGAAAACACTGATGCTGTATAAATGGTGTATCAGCATTGCAGTTTATATGAATCCACACTACAGTCATTCACCAACTCTAGGCCTATAGGTTTGTTTATTTGCTTTAATTTCTTTCTCCCCATCCTGCAGGCCAGTACTCCTGGAGGGAAGTATAGCACAAGGACTGCTGGACAAACATCATACCCTCAGGCACATCACCCTCTGCAACCTTGGACATAGGCACCTTTTTACCACAGAGACCCAATGTTTGCCATTTGTTTGGCCCCTGCAGTGACCCTTTGGCCTTTACATGGACAGATGAGGCTCATATGTCTCTCTCCACAACACTGCCTTCCTTCTTGAGCCCTCTTGTGCAGCCAAGGATAGTGCTTGTAGGAAACCTTAGGAGCCTGCCAGGCTCCCAGTCAGCAGAGAAACCTCTGAAGGAGCTGACAGTACAGTCCAGTCAAAGGTCTTGTGCTTGTGTTCCTTTGTTTTCCTCCATGTTGCCCTTCCTGATTGTCCTGGTCCAGGGCAAATTTGGGAAAGAACCCCCGAAAGGGTTCCTCTAGGAAGCAGATTCAATCGGCCCCTCCCCCTCAACCGGTTCGGGAAATATACCTCCTTGGACAAAAGTGGAAAAAAACTACTTATTAAACAAGCAAACTTAAACAATATTAAACAATAAAACTTCTTGCCAATCCAAGAGAGAGACAAACTCAGAGAATTCCTCTGGGCTGCAGCTGGGCTCACTCAGTCTCTGATCAGTCCCTCCGGCGCTGGAAATGCTGCGACCCAGGCCCGGCCCGCTGGGCCACAGGTGCTGCTGCTGCTGCTCTTCTGGGTGTTCAGTCCAGAGCAGGTCCAGAGAAAGGAAAAACAAAACACAGTCCTGGGAACTTCTTTGCCTCAGCTAGCTAAAACTAACTAGAAAAGCAAAGGAGAGCTCTCTTGCCGTCTGTCCATCTGCAGACAACACAGTCCAGGAGCAGTAATGTGGAGGATGGAGTGAGTTCTTGAAAACAAACTCTGCACTTCTTCCCCCCCTTCACTCTTGGAACAAGCCTTAAAGGTGTAAAACTTATTATTCAATATAAACAGGGCAGACAACTGGGGATAAAGGCATCATACAGTCAACCTAGGACACTGATCCGTGTTGTTTGCTGAAGGAAGCTGTAGCACATAACAAGGACATAAAGCCTTCCGTGCTTTACAGTGTTTGCTTTACATTCCATTTCTCCCATCCCAGAGAAGTACAAACACCATGGTGTATTGAAGTTTCTCCACCACAACAGAAGCATCTAATATGGATTAAAAATATTTTTCATTAAATATCTAAGACTCTCTTGAGACCAAAAAGGTGCCATAATGGTGATCTTCTCCAAAGCCAGAGTTTGAATCCTGTTGTGCCTGATTTGGCTAGAAGCTGACACAGAAGAGAAATTCTTGGAAGTGTTTTATTCTCAGTCTCATCTGTGATATGGTTTCACAGGCTTTCAGAGAAAATCTGTGGGAGTCTTGAAAAAAATCAGTGTGAGACATTTAGATACACTTTAAATAATCCCCTGCAGCCCACCTTGCATTCTTAACTCTTCAGAAGTACATAAATATATTTCCAGATGGATAGCTGCTGGTGTGTGCCTTTCTAAGCCTTCTAACCCTTCAATCCAGCACTCCAAGGACAGGATTACAGGTCCTCACAGATATTTTGACGACACAGAGATAAAAAGATGAATGGATATAATGCTTATCTTTTTCACCTAATCTAGGAATAGG